AGACAACACTACCGAAAAGAGAGATTAGGGAAGTGAACAGAAATATGTAGACATCACGAATGATGTAATGGGGGCAGCAAATCAATGTTTGCTTCTTCAATGTCTCCTAATCAGAAGACGGTGGAATGGGGGAAGTACGATGCTGAAGGGGGGATGGGGGGGGGGACATTTATCGCCTTTTGAAGATAATATGCATGGGTACAGCAGGCCTATTCGTTCCGAGCCTGCGAGTGCTACTTGACAAAACCTCTCTTTTTGCATTGAGGTTGAGCGTTCGCCTAAAAGAGAAACATATGGGTTCTTTCTCAAACTGAGAGGAACAAGTTAAAACTGGCTCTTCTTTTTCTGTGCTTGACGTTTAGCAATAAATGATTTTCCGAAAATGGCTTGTTAGTAAAATGTGATCAGAGGCCTGTCCGTTTATGTGTAACAAACGGTTTGTTTGTTTTTAAATGTAACATTTGGCGTATTAATACTAGTGGACCTTCAAATGTTTATGCAGGCATTGCAAGGCTTTGTCAAGGCTTGCCAAAAAGCAGCATCAGATTCCTAGGTCCGACCTTATTTTATAAACAAACAACTCTGGTCCAACCGGTTTAGCTGTTTGGACCACGATAAACGAAACGGCCCAGGTGATATATCGTGCGCATTTCATTGAAATAATACGTTGCAGTGGTCAGCTGTATGATGCAGTGGAATTAATTCCTGGCATTCTGTATCTAATACCGAAGTGTGTGTGTGTGTGTGTGTGTGTGTGTGAGAGAGAGAGAGAGAGAGAGAGAGAGAGAGAGAGAGAGAGAGAGAGAGAGAGATACATATAACCTCAGCTATTGAGAGAAAGGGGAAACCATTACCAAACTAATAAAATTTCTATGATTTGTTTAGGACATTCATTTTATTTTTGTCGTGCTTCTAAATGGTAATGTGATGTCGTCGCATTCTCATGAATCATTTTATCTAATTAGAAAGGAATGCCTTAAACCCTTTGACACTTAGCATTGACCTGTACTATTGATTTTTTTTCCAGCAATCTTCCAAATGATAGCAATGTTGTTATGCTGGTATTTTGCATCGACGACAGTGTTTTTATATTTATAATAAAATAGCCTATGCTTTGTCAGGAAATTATACACATTGCAGTTTCTAAAACGGGCAAAGCAGTTGATAGATCTACGTCTGTCGTTAACCATTGGTGCTCAGACTTACACGGCGCGGCTCCGAACACATTATAAGGAAACGTTAGTGTCATTGGTGGCATATAAGAAGGTATCGTGTCATATAGGTTGTAAATTCCAAGCAGAGACCAGCTTATATTATGAAATAGGTAATGATCCGATAATAGGGAAATAATGCAAAGGAAAAGAACATCTATATGTATATAAAATAGCGAGAGAACAGCACGTCGGCTAAACGTACTTTCCCGGTCAATCCCCTTTTATCTGTTAAGCACTGTTAGATGATAGACATGTCGGCATCAGGCATCACTGTTGATCGATTAATAGCTAAGGTCACAAGACGTGTCCACGCATGATGGGGTCAAAGTGTCAACTTACTCAATTATCATAACAAGGACACGGTAACATGACACTCCATCCGGTAACATTACAATGACAATGGGCTAATGAGTCCCTATATTCTCTCATTTAAAGCCGGTCATTTCATGACTACGCAAAGTGCAATTCTTACATAATTAATGATATGTTTTCTGGTCAAGATTTTGGTTTTATTAGGTTTGATGTTATATTATCAGCTAAGGTCATTAAAGGACGTGCCTCCATTTTGGAAATGTTTGCGTGCATGGTTGTATGCAAGCGTGGATAAAACACGTGATACTGGATATCTCAAGAACGTATTATGGAAGATGTCCCGACATACCAGCTTTTTGAAAAGCTTTCATGACACCGTACTGTCATATGGTTTCTTGTGGAGTTTTTCGATGTAAAATAGACAGCAAGTTAATGCTCCTTTTGATCATTCGAAACAATTGATGTTCCTCCGTGGATTTTGATTCTGCCTGAGGTTGATCTGTCACGCGATGAAACAGTGTTGAGGGGCCGATAGGGAGTCAATAACTAACTTTACCAAATTATAACGAAAGTGAGTTCAAGTCTAACTCGTTTGTTAAAATCTAATAATTAAACACATCAGTTCCGAATTAATCAGGAACTACAATCGATCGAAATATTCCTTTTGAGATACCTGATATATGTTCTACCGATGTTCGTGACAGAAATGTACATGTAATATACTACTAAAGAATATTATTATAACAAGCCGTGCTTGTTCTAGTCTATATAACACAACACGAAATACGACAATACGACCATATACAGAACCAGACAAAGAATGGAAAACAAATTTCCGCTCTGCCGACACAGACGTTGAAAAAATACAGTATTTTCGAAAATAGAAAGCGAAAGGTTTTCTATATGATTTTGTTGTCAGAGACAAGTCGTTTTTAACGTCAGACTGTTAGCCATGCTGTTTTAACATGCTGCAAGAGAACCTCTCCAAGAATAATTATAATGACTGCATAATTCCCCATGCCTAGAAGTTCGTCTTCGTAAACTAGGAGAGCGCACATTGGTCGTATTGCATTGCATTGTCCTTATTTGTACGGGCGTTTAACGTTCAATAGCTATGGTTGGATACAAGAAAAGATATAGATCCCAAATGTTGCAATTGGAGACAGGAGATCAATATTTAGGTTCTGCAATGTCCCCTCGTTATTCGGGTGGGGGGGGGGGGATGTTTAGATGGCATTTTAAAGTCGGCATCAGATCTTCGCTATCTCGCTATCCCAAGGTGGTAAATACACAAACATACTCTCTGAAGCACAGATACATAAATGCCGGCATACATTACACACATTGAGTCTCTTTCGTAAATGAAGCCTACAAAATCAAACCACCCGATCTCATTGTATTTATTATGAGAAACAAACTTGTTAATCAAACGTGTGAAGTATTTGCATTTTAACTAGAGCACAGGCACTGCTGCAAGGACACGGACCCTCAACTATAAAAAAACATTTAAATTTATAAATCAATGTATCAACCCGACTCATTGAATTGGTTATGACAAAGGTCCGCTGGGTGAATTCAAAGGTTTAAAATGTGCCGCAACCATAAAGTCAAACGGTCAAGTATATGTGTATATTATGTACACCAGCGGTACGAATCTTCTAAAATATCGAGCAGCGAGTCTTTTTTTTCAGCTTGTAAAATTAATCGTAGAAAAGGTTGACGGGAGTGATATGCTTATATAATAAGCCTCTTCCCCTGTCTGCTCCGATGTAGTTGTTAGTATCCACTTTTGATTCTCAGACATGTAATGGTGGAATTATTTGCCTCTGTACCGTCTCTAACAATTACATTTACAACCCCAACGGTTATCCTCATAAGGCAAATCAATTATCATAACAGCTACTTTAAGGCTATAACGTTTAAACAAATGTAACGAATTTCCTGTCAGTACTATGATTATTTTGAAATATTTACATATCTCCTTTCTTCAGCTTAGTAAACTCTGACTGCGTATAAATTAGCGTATACGCAGTGGGAAAGGGCTAGGCGTTCATACTCCCGTAAACGCCGTCAAAATGAAGGTCAATCCTTAAATACATTCGTTGTTATCATGTTTGGTTAGTTTATTTGCTCAGGTGATAGGAGGCCTATTCTGTCAAAAAATTACCTTTTTTCACTATCCAAGCTTAAATGATAAACCTATTGTAATGTTATAAATGAAAGCAAATCGATAAATGTTATATTTCCAACTTTACATTTTAATTATGACCATAGCTGTTGATAGGACGTTGAAAAAATACTGAACCAAACTAAACCAAACCAATCAGCTGGTCAATATGACCCAATCATTTTGTTCGCAGTACCGTTATTACTGTCTTGCCGTTATCATAAAATGGACACATTGCCATTTAGTCTATATAAATAAAAGATGCGAGGTTAAATACGTCTTTCCGGCAAACGACATTCTTTGCAGTTCTCCAATCAGTGGTTTACGCTATTGATTTGTGATGTTAGACAAGCAACATGAAAAGTTAACGGTAAAGTATAGCCCGTGTCTGTATGTACACAGCACACAATACCATATTTGATATAACTGTTTGCCTGTTTTTAACAAAATTCAATATCGTTACGGTATCTACTGGTAGAATCTGAAAATCATTTTAAGATCAATGTATTTCAAAGCACGCGGCATCTTGCCAGCTCACATTTTTGTACTGTGTATACCCTTCCTTGCATGTCCCTTTGCGTAGCCGTGGAAAGTGACTATTATGTAGAAAGCACAGAGGAAAACCCACGATTCTCCAGGTGGCTAACATCAGCTGCCTCTTACAACATGCTGTTAGATATGGCATAGGTAGTCTTTTCCCGAATCAGCACAGGGTTTGGTTTGGTTTAGTATTGTTTAACGTCCTATCAACAGCTATGATCATTTAAGGACGGCCTCCCCTGTGTGCAAGATGCATGCGTGTAGTGTGTGCGTGTGTGTTTTTTGGAGGCTGCGATATGTTCGTGTTTGTCTCCTTGTGATAGCGCGGAACTGATGCCGACTTTATAGTGCTACCCGATCACATTAAACTGACAACGAGCGAACCAGTCGTCCCACTCCTAAAATGCTCAGCGTTAAGCAGGAGTAGAAATTACCATTTTTACAGACTCTGGTATGTCTCGGCCAGAGGACAGAACCCAAAGCCAACTAAAGGACAAAAGTGAGGCATTGTTAAGGGAGACATTAGGAAGAAGAAAGTTGTTTAGAAAGAAGAGAAAAGATCAGATCCCAAATGTAGTCGCCTCTTACGATCATGCAATGGGGGCAGCAGGTACAATTCTTACGCCCTGCATGTTGTTTCTCATTCTGTCGGTGGTGTTTTTACCTTACATATCGTGGGTCTTGGCGAAAATAAACGTATATTTCACTGAATGAAAAATAGAGAGTGACGGACCAAAATAATCCAAATTCTTAATATTGCTTTACAGGTGATACGCATGTTGGTGGTGATAGTGGTGGTATTTGCCATGCTGTGGCTGCCGTACCGGGCTATAGTGGTATATAACTCCTTAGCAGACTATAAGTACCTCAACGTCTGGTTCTGGCTCTTTTGTCGCATCATGGTGTACATCAACAGTGCCGTCAATCCCATCCTCTACAGTCTCATGTCGCTAAAATTCAGAAAAGCCTATCATCGGATACTCTCTTGCAGTAAGTATATTTTCATTTTATTTCAGCATGTTTGATTAACAGTATTAACATGTTGATAGCATTGACCAACATACATATGTTACACATAACGAGGCAGGTTCTTAAGTTTCCTTAAATGACCGTTGCTGTTGATAGGAAGTTTTAACCTAAACCACCAACTAACATTAAGTGACTTACTACTAAGGTGGGTTTTTTCCAAAACTGCATTCCTAACAGCATATTAAAATAGGAAAAATAAATGACATAAAACAATCGATGACGAAAAACAAAAACCAATTACAGCTCAAATGTTTAAAGTGCCGATGATTAGTTGTCACTGATAATAATAATTCAGAGAAAAATATTTTTTTTAGATAAATACATTTTATCAATGGCGTATATTTTTCCACAGCTTCCTCGCTTTTATTTTGAACCCCGCCCTTCAATAGCTTTATGGCAAGTTCAAAAATAAACCAATGCAAATCAATCAGTGATTCATCCAAATAATGAAATTATTAAGTGCCGAGCACCGGAAGTGTGCGATAAATTCAATATGTCGTCAAATAAATGAAATTATCATGCTCTGGACTTTAAAGTCCATTTAGGTATCAAACAATAAAAATCACAACACACCAGCATTAACAATACTTGTTTTCCCCAGTCCAGATACTCACTGTATAACCCAATTGATTATATCCCGATCTTTTTGTTTCAAAGAAACTATGGTAAAACTTGTGGCTGCGCCATCCCCTTCCATCAGTAACAAACTGATTGATAACACAGGTCAAGAAGTAGGCAACTGTGACGATAAACTTTCCCTTTTCAAGAACTACTGCCCGCCCTTCTTCTTATTTGTTTGTTTAAAATGTGGAGGGGTTTAAATCTGTAATTCAACAATATTTTGCCTAGAATGATTGTTTTGTTTTTGGACTTGTTTCGCCATCGATCCAAAACCTTGCTGCATGGCAAGGGAAGATACTGAAGAACTCTAAATTAATACCTTTTTAGGTTTCAAAGGTTTTTGTTTTATAGGTTTTAACGTCCAATGAATAGCTAAGGTAATATAAAGATGTACATCCACGTGTGTTGTTTATGCATGCATGTTTGTATGTGTGCCGGAGACAACGGAATGTATTAGCAGTCGGGAACAGACAAATAGTAATAATAATTGCGGAAATATTTGTTTCGGAAAATCGGCCAACTGCATGACGCAAATGGCGACTTATGGCCCCAACACAACACACGGAGGAACGTCCTTATATGACCTTAGATGTTGATAGGACGTAAACCCCTTTACCCCCAACGGCAGTGCTTTCTCCTCACTGCGCAATTGCGGTATTAACGCACCGTAAAGAAAAACGGCGCATCCCAATCATACTTTGGGGCCGCTTTTAGCACGAACAAATCGGCTTTGGAAAGGTTACAAATTAAGGGTAATCTTACCTACTCTGTGGGGATCTCGAAACCCACGTTAAACCATTGCGTCCGGGGATATCGGAACCTATTATAACATAATAAAAAATCACCAGGAATTCCGAACAAAAAAACACAAATAAAATGGCAGGCAGTGAAGTGTTTTAGTTACTCGTTTGTGGAATGAAGATTTTGAAGCAATCTATGCGTCATTGACCGGATAGAACTTATGTCCTCATAAATCGTATTTCTCATACGCAAAATTACTCTGAAAATAAAACGAAGTGAATTGGAGATCGAGTAAATCACTGGGCAAGTCAGGCCAAACCTAGCAGTACATGTTGCTACGATAACAAGCAAATTCGTGGAATGTATATCCCCCGCTTGCAGGACATATTGTAGGTTAACATTATTGTGGTTAGGTTTAAACATGTGAGTATCGTACTGTTGAGACATAATTTATAGCTTGAAACTGTAAGAAAAAAAGCCCTATACCTCATTGATTATCCGTAAATATGCACAAATCACATCGGTTGGCAAACTTAGCACGAGTTGAATGTGCACAAGGAATTTGGTTGAAACATCTTAACAATATCTACAGCAACATGAACTAATTGTAAGTGGGGACCAAGCAAAGATGCACCAGAAAAGGATCGCATTGCCATACTACACCTACAATGTACTTACTAAATTTGAGTGAAATTGAGCAATTTCGAAATTGCAACCAATCAGAATCCTCTGTGTAGTTCCTATGGCAACGAAACATATGTGATTGAATTTACAGTCCCCTAATACCCCTATATACAAATTTTCATCGAAATCAAACAATATCTAAATTGCAACCAATCAGAATCCTCTGTGTAGTTCCTATGGCAACGGAACATATGCGGTTGAATTCGCAGTTCCCTAATATCCTTATATACCAATTTTCATCAAAATCGAACCAAGTTTGAAGAAAATCATTTAACATTTGTTATAGTTATTGCACAGAAACAAAACCCGACAGATAATTACGTTTTTTGTTATTCAATGGGCATTAACTCCGCCAAATGAGGTCTGCTGAAAGTGGTTATCGAACTTGACCGAGACCTTAAGGCATTTAACCCTGTGACCAAGTTTGAAGAAAATTATTCAACATTTGTTGTAGTTATTGCACGGAAACGAAGCGTGACAGACAAACAGACAGACAGACAGACAGACAGACAGACGGACAGACCCATATTAATATCCCCCGTTTCGGTGAAAGCGGGGGATACAAAATCCAAAGGCTATGGCAACGAAGATATCCCTGGTAGCGGTATGGCACCGACAGAAAACAATGACATGCAATTTGAGAGCAAATCGAAATAATAAAATGACAAATGGAAGTAAAAAATTCAGAACATCAACATTTGAAAGACCTCTGTTTTCTGAATATCGCAAAATTACGCTCCCAGCTTCAGTGTTTGAAGAGACTGTTAGGAAAGAATTTATTTGAGAAATCAGGCAGTTTAAGAACAGTTCACTGGATAACGAATAAACAAAATGCGACTCAAAAGTACAATTATCGTCTTCATTTTTTTCATATTCAAGGATGCACTGAAGTAACCTCATCAAACTGTGGACAAAAAGACAATTACCATTCCTATATTACAGCAGAAGAATTACAAGAGGTCTTGTAGGATGCTAAAATGCAAACTTTTTCTCTATTATCTGTGACAAAAGGACTGACATTTCAGTGACAACAAAAAAACCTATGGTGTTATGTCGTTATCGAGGAAGGCGTCTTTAAAACGTTGACCTTCCAAACGGATTTACTATTATGAAGCATTAAATGGTTGCTGTTGACACTATGATGTTGTTAATGTGATGTTGCTAGGGTCTGATGGGGCATCTGTCAAGACAAGCGCGATAGCCTCCTTACTAAGATGTGCCAGAAGTGGTCCAATTACTTGAAAAGCTGTAGAAAACACTACCAACCAGCCAACACGTGATAGCCTCCTTACAAAGATGTGCCAGAAGTGGTCCAATTACTAGAAAAGCTGTAGAAAACACTGCCAACCAACCAACACGTGCAGAATCAGGGCTCATTTTTCTTCGTCGTCTACTAAGGATAGCAATAGAGAAACCAACATTGGTCTGCATTAAAATCCCCTGCTGTTGTTACTTGGTACTTAGGTTATATATGTTCATTCTCGCTTCATTTCCTCTTTCTACCTTCATTACCTCTTTCTTTTACTTCATCTAAATAATACTAGCCTTTGTGGGGACGTTGGGGGTTTAGCTTTTACCAAAAATGTTTCCTCATTATCCTTCATTAATTATTAATTGATTCATCAATAGATAAAAATACAGGCATATTGGTGCGGCCACGTTTGTGTCCGGTCATACATACATTACTCGACTCTTTCCGTACCGCAATTCCGGTCCGTAATCCGTACCATATGTCGGTACTAAACTCAACCCTGCAAATATTACATAGTGTCGGATGTTCAATGTATTTTAAAGACGAGGTGTCATTTATGCAAGAAATACACAGGTAAACGTGAACCAATGTTATATCGTTTGATGTTTTTGAAAGTCTATAATATGACTGAGAAATCGGCTTGTGCTCCTCACTGAAAGATGAGATGCATTGCCTTCACACCCCTGCAGGTGTGGGAATTGGGAATAGAATACATACACCTGCTGTTACCCACTCGTGAATTGTAGAAGGCGACTTATGTTTGAATCCCCTGCAAAATTGGGGATTTGCTTTGATGTCCTTTTTTTAGGGACACAAAAGCGACTAAAATAAATCTGCTGCACCCATTACAATATGTGGGATCTTTATCTTTCTTTCTACGTTTGGTTTTAATGTTGAGCGTCCGCCCAGTTGAGGAAGGCAATGGGGAACATTTAGGGGAACTGGTTCACCCGTGGTCAGTATAATGTGACCGGGCGGAATGCTGTGCTGGGTGCCTTCGGCATGGCATTTCAGTGAGATAGCACTATAAAGTCGGCATCAGATCCGCGCTATCACAAGGAGGCAAGCAACCAATATACTCTGTCTCCTGTATACACATACGCAAGCAAGCATACACTACACACATACATGACCATCGCTGTTAATAGGACGGTTAATAAAATTAAACCAAACTAAACAAATCTTGCCTTCAAAATACAGCTTTGTAGCTCGAGTCCCCAATAAGAGTTGATTTTGGGTACAGAGTCGTTTAGGTTTCTATTTGAAACAAGCGTTTACAACTGCAAATAGTCCCTGCAGGTAGGGCGTAAGAATTGTACCTGTTGCCCCCATTGCATGATCGTAAGAGGCGACTAAATTTGGGATCTTATCTTTTCTCTTCTTTCTCAACAACTTTCCTCTTCCTGATGTCTCCCTTTACAATGCCTCACTTTTGACCTTCAGTTGAGCGTTCGCCCCTGCGAGGAAGGCTCTGAGTTCTATCCCCCGGCCGAGACATACCAGAGTCTGTAAAAATGGTAGTTTCTACTCCTGCTTAACGCTCAGCAATTTAGGAGTGGGACGACTGGTTCGCCCATTGTCAGTATAATTTGACCGAGTGGGGTGTCCTGCTGGGTGTCTTCGGCAGTATGTTTCAGTGAGGTAGCACTATAAAGTCGGCATC